CAAAATTGGGGCATGCCCCAAAATGCCCCAATGCCCCAAAATTACTTGAAAATCGGATGCACAGTGGCGCTCATTTTGCCCATCCCCTACGACAGTGCGTGGTGTTACGCACTCGTCACGTACCACCTCCGGCGTTCAAAGGACCTCGGCGATGGACCGACTTGAGCGTGGCCAGCAAGACCAGCCAGGTAGCGAGTCAGTGGGGAACACAGCAGTTGTGAGAGAAGGGGGCTGACGACAGCTGACAGATTGTCATATTTGGCGTTTGTACCATTTAGGGGGACCGCGACGCTGCCAGCTTACCTGTACCCAGCGATGATTTGCCCCGTGTTTCTATCTGGTTTGCCCATGTATGCCTATCGGCATGTCTCTGGCTCTGGCTCGCCGTGTCCCCGTCTCCCTTGGTGGTGGTGTTCTGTAGGACAGCTGCTGTTGTGTTCTCGTAGCAACGTTTCGAAAGGTCCAAGAAAAGCTGTTCTGGTTCCCTGCTTTCATGTGCACACCTCAACCTGGGCGTGTGACCCGCACCCCTCTGCTGCGTCTACTGCTGTCCTTGGTCTATAAAGGCCCGTGCGTTCCACGGTAATACAATCGCCCAGAAGGTGCACCGCTGCATTTGTGTGTATGGACTTGACAACAGCCATTAGGTTCTCTCTCTCTCCCCCAACCCTAGTGTAGTAGGCCTCGGAAACGACCGCTATTTTTCTGTAGCGAAGACTTTATTATAGCGACCCTTCCGCAGGGGCGGCCAGGCAGCCGAGATGCTTGGGATGCTTGTGGGTCTCCCACCCTTCGTCTCACGAGGCCCAAATCGCTAACGAAACCGCGCGCGCTTTCAGGCTCGCATGTGCGCACGCCGGTGCCGTTGTAGCTTGTTTGTGTTTGTGAAGTTTAGATTCCAGATCGACACGTGGGTATACATACGTGGATCAATCCCAATTACATGTCGCGGCAGAACAACTTTCTTATCCTGATCCTTCCAGCAGTCGCCCGTAGCTTGCTCTTGTCTGTTGTCCAGCAGGAATCCCTCTCGTTGGTGGTAACTGGTGCACCTGTCAGTAATGAATTGATGTCGGTCGCATGATTCCTATGTCTCCCAGGATTATGCACACAACACGTGAGGAAGAAGCTTGTTGGTCTTTAGCGAATCTTTGGCCTGGAAAAAACACGTCACCAATATATTAGCGACACAAGAGCAGTGACACATTTTGGGCCAGCTGCCCAGCTGCCACCACCGGCTGGCGAGCGCGCCGACTGCATGCAAAATCACCCGCCGCGAACGTATTACGGGGGTGATCCCGTGCCGCCTATTCTAGTTTACCCTCTTATGTACAAGGCGTTGCAAACGATCTAGCTATGTACAACTGTGGCCAGGACCGGCAGTTGATTTGGATCGACAAAATACTGCTGCTGTGGGAAACAGTTCGTACGTGGTCCGAACGTGCAGCTGACATGTGCGAACTCCAGCAAGCATCCGAGGCTCCACACAACATTCGAAACGAAGAGCTCAGCAATTACTAGTGTACTATGGTGAGCACGAAGACCCGGACAACAAGTTACCGAAGAGTGCAACGAACTGCAATTTTTTTTTATTATTTCATCAATATGACCCAACGAATCCATCTCAATGGAAGAAAAGAGTCCATCTAATAAAAGAGAATTATCAAAAAATCATTGAGAATCAGCAAATCCTGTCTTCCCACGATTTCCCGAGCAGCAACGATGCTCGAGAATGCCTTTTGCGAAGGATCAGCTGACCACAGGGTGCCCTGTCGCCCTGTTTTGTTTTGTGTTGTTTTTACTTGTATGACCCACGACGAATCCATCACGATCTACAAAGAAGAGTCTAAGATAGATCAGCAATAAATATTTTATTTTATATATTTTTGCCTTCCGACAATTGCAGATGTACCTCAGAAAACTTTCACTTAATGTCTCATACTCTACATGAATATTAAACCAATACGAAGTACAACAACATATGTAGGACTTATTTCTACTGTCATTTACATCGTAAAAGTATCTCCTCTTCAACTTACCAATGACAATCCTGATGGTATCCTATATGCGTTCGTAAGCTTGCTAAAATACTACTGCGTTGATGTCCGCTTGTAAAAGCTGAAATCCAACAAATGCTTTGATCCATGCTACATCTCCGTGTTGGAAAAGCCCTTTCATCTCCGTTCATGATAACATCTTACCCTATTCTACGCAAATCTGTCACATCTACTCTCAAACAAGACGTCAACTTCAAACGAAAACGCGTTCTACGATGCGTCTACACTCCATCCCCATATCATTGGCGTTGACTGGTCCGAGGTCGATCTTGTTCGCCTGTTTTCGGCGTCTTGACGCCCGCGCAATGCGAGCTTGTACCTCTGCACTCGCCGAGATATGGCCACCTGTGTAGCCACCGAAACGATCTGAAGAAGTCGTTCCTTGAAGACTCCTTTCAGAGCCATCGTTCCTCCGTCCCTTCCTCCCACGGCATGTGTCGCAAGTTCATCGATGAACTCGTAACCCTCCTCTCCAAGGCGGCCAAAGCTTTCCACGGCTAAGGTGGTAAGTTTAAAGCTGCGTTCGTCAAAGGACACGTGTCCCGGACGAGCGTAGTGCTGACGCTTTCGCGCCTCGGATGCTTGGGCTGCGATTCCATCGCTGGTCGCGCTGCCGTTCCGCAAGTGTACCTGTGCTTGCGGGTCTGCGTGTGTGACATCGAGGAGTATTCCTTTGTTGCGGTACCCCGGAGAAGATGCGTTCGTGAGGGCTTATGGCCTGATGACGATGTCCATGCTCAGGTTTCTTTCCCCCGTGAACGGTGCCCCGCTTTCAACGTCGTGTTTGACGCGAAGGCCGTTGAGTGCTCTCGATAGTGCGTATTTTAACGGCTCGTGCATGTTGACCTGTGCTCCATCCCTTCGACAGGTCCTTGCGTGCACCGTTGTGATGATCTCGCCTTCCCTGCCTCTGTGGCACCTGGGACATCTTTCCGCCAAGAATTCTTCAACTCCCAAGGCGCGTCTCGTCGCGTAGACGTGTAGCGTCAGCGAAGGCTACCTGTGTTTCCACGATTTCCCGAGCAGCACACAGCCAAATCTCCCCCGTGGTTAACACATGCTCAGTAAGACATTTTAGCAGACATATTGTCCATCTCTGTGTATGTTATCCTGGGAAGGTGTAGAAGGCAGGTGTTGGGTAGTTGGTAGTTGGTTCGTCGGGTGGTGGTGGCACCCAGAAGAAAAGCACAGCACACACGGTTAAATATTTTACTTCCTGGCTGGCGGCGCGCGGTTGTTTTTTCTTCTTTGATCGACGCGCGAAGTCATGACAATCGTTCCATATGTATCTATAAAATGAGTCCAACATAAGGTAGTAAGGACTGCATAGCGTCAGCGGAGTCTACCCTGGATTCCCACGATTTCCGTTTCGTCTTGTTTTATTATCCCGGTAACCTCTGAAACGCGTACCTTATCATTACGCGTTTAACTACAGAATGATGCGTAGGCAAGCGATCCCTGCGGAGTTGGCTCATGAGAACACGGCATCATGATGGGGCGATGCTTTGGTACTAACTAAGGGCATGGTGGTAGCTTCAGTAGTCATCCGCCTTGCTTGACCCAAACTTGTTTGAGTTGGTCTCGGATGGAAACAACTGGTTTCGGGGGGGCGGCTAGACGCTGTATAGGACCATTTCAACGCCAATATCCCATTAAGAGCAACTGGCTGCAACCGCCGGCCGCCATCTCGCGGCTGGTGTCATTTCAAAGGTTGACCAGCCTTTGACGTTTTCCGAGGCATCGTCCAAGCTCTATAACATTCAACGCAGCTGACGTGCCTCGACTCGAAAGGCGCAGCGAACCACACCGAAACCAAAAAGAAGAAATTTGTTGTAATGCCGATCGTTGCATGACGCAAGATATCACACGCCCCCTTGGGCGGATTTTCAAAGCGAGATGACGCTTGAGCAACATTGGTGGCCGCGCCGAAAGTGGCGGCGTGGGGAACTCTCGGGGAGAGCTTTTCGGAAACGGGTCGCTTAGATCCTCGGGATTCTATCGGTCGGAGGGCAATCGGCCTTTGAAAATTGGTGCAGGGTGTGTGCAGTATCTTACGTAACCTACGCTGCAACAGTCATGACGTCATACACTGCTGTGGCAATCGGTGCGACCAGTCCGTCGGCTGTTTAGATGCACTCTCGTACCCTGGTTGGGATAGCGTGTGACCGCGATAGAGATTCTTGTACCTTTTCCTCGCACGGGGAGGGAGGGTACAGCTAGCGCCTGCATTTCGCACTTGGCAGAAAGAAATTGAGCCTATAGAAACTCAGAATCTAGCAAGTTGAGCACCATCTGTGAGCTCGGTCGGGAACCTTCCACTAAAACCTACCAACTGTTTTGATAGCATCCATATGACCTGCAGTAAGAAACCCAGCCTCGGCTAAATCTTGAGGTCCTTAACCCTCGTAGTACGCATTCCCCTTGCAAAATATAAATCCCAACAATAAGATGTCAATGGCCGAGGGGGTAAAGTCCCTCCGAAGAAATCGGAGACAAAGGGTGACTTGGCTTCAGTATGAAGAGTTTCCCTAAAACACGTGGGGACAAAGTTCATGCTGAGGCCAAGTAAGCAATTTTATACCAGGTTATGTACAGCAGTTTTACTTACCAGAGGAGACGCGGCTTTGGACGTTGTGTACAGCAACAGTCAGACACCCAGGAGAGGCATCACACAGCATATCACATAGCGTACCACCTCACCCAAGCATTATAAGACCAAGGGATATCACGTGCGTTGCACACAACGGAGCCTACGGTGCAGTAAACAGACATATAGAGTGTTGTGTCCCAAAAGTGTCCCCACATGGGCGTCCAGGACTACGAGGGCTAAGAGCGGGCGCTAGCTGTATTGGAGAACAGTTGAGCACAGCAGTATCGGTGCGTCTGCGACAACAAGACAGCAACCAGAGGGAAGAGCACGATTTTATCCGAAAGCCCCCCTTCTCTCGATTTCGTCTGTGTCGTCCCGCACTCTGTTCCGGGAGGCTGTTCGACAGACTCCTGCTGTGTTGAGCTACACCATTCGAAGCACGATACCTCACGTTTTATCATTCTATGGTTTCCCTGCATGTCGCTCTTGAATTCACACGCATTTGTTTCGCGTCGTCTTGTCAAGCTTGGAACTAGCCGTAGTCTGTAGCGTCCCCCCGAGATGCTTCCACGTCCCTTTTATTTTCTGTCTGCTGTGTTCCTTTCGGCCGCCACACTTCTTTCGTTGTTTATGTTTGTTTTTTTTCTTTTGTTCGTCTCGTGTGTGCTTAAATCGTTTCCTTCACCATGCGGGTCAGCGATGGAGGCCCAACAAGACACCGGTGCGGCGACGCGACGCGGCTCATCCCGGGAATCCAGGAACACCACGGGCACCGGGAGCGGCCTGGCCAGCGGAAACGCCATCCTGGTTGACATGACGAGGCTGGCAGATGTGCTTGGTATGTAGCCTACACATGTGTTGGTGTTTGGAGCGAATTGGTGTGAGTCTGAACGCGGGGGTGGTTGCTTTTTTCGTCAGGGGTAGGCTGGGCTGGGCGCCAACGGGTGCGGCCGGCCGTGTACCGGGCACCCGGCGCTGTTCGGAGGATGAGCATTCTTGAATAGTTCCATCGATGTTGAGCGATATCAGCGGCCTTCTGTGCACAGGGCGACCTCGTTCTTCATGCAGCCATACACAGGAACCACTTCCCGTATGAATGGAATCGCTACCCCTACCATGGTACGGCTTTCTCCGTTGCGACGGAGTTGGTTCGAGAGGAAATTGGCCGCCGCCGAACATTCGGTGGACTCTTTGGCACCACTAATGCCGTGCCAGTACGTCATTTCCATGACCTTTCCTCTCCTTAGCTGCTTGAGGTTAGGGTAGGGCTCCGCGGTGCATCGATAATTGCAGACGACGACTCCTGCTTGTAGCCAAGCCGTCGCGTGTGCGTAGCGACGGAGAGACCAAAACTCTGTTGCCTGCATGAGCGCAGAATGTGATTGGCCAAAAGGCTAGCTGACATGGTGCTACTGCTGTCGTTTCCCACCGACCCGTGCTAATTATTTATTTCCCCGGTAAATACTTACTTGCTCTCCGTGTATGTACGGTGTAGATGTTGTGCTTGGGTTTCGTGCGTTATTGTGCGCGGGGTAAATCTCACTGTGTTGTTTGCCCTGTCCCCCTCTTGCTTGAGTGATGCCAGTGTCAGTTCGACTTACATGGGGTACATGCGTTTGTTTCCCGTGCCCCCCCCCGCCCAGAATCCCCCCGGTGTTTGCCATCGGGGTTGGGTTTTCGTCGCTTGGCAACGACGTTGTAAAACAAGCCAATTCACTTTGTGAACTCGGCAACCAGGTTACCGTTCTTTTTTTCTTTACCTCTGTTTTATTTTGGGCGGTAACCTTAACGGTGGTCGAGTAGATCATGTTGTGCGGGGTCGAAAACCCTTACTCCGCGCAAGGGGGATGATCGCACCACGTTGTGTT